GCTTATAACATTGACATCTTAAATGGCAATTGCACTAATATAATTTTATTCATTTTCAACACTTTTTAAATAATAGAATGTGAATCATTCTAATCATATTGATAAAACACTACTTCATTGAAATTTGCATTGAAATAATATATTGTATCAAGAATTATAACAAAAGGTGGAGGAACAAAAAAATTACCATACGTTCAGTGAGAAGTATTACCCTGCAGTGGCTAAAGAGACTGGGGTATGAATTATGATCTGGTTCACCCAACATCCTTATCTTATCTTGGCTTTGTGGTTGTTAAACCATGGTTCACTGTGGAAGATGCTGTTATAGTTTATTCAGCAAATCATGTACAAAACAAGCCACGGCAAAGCTTGATGCGTAAATATGGCATACATTTCTTCATTCAGATAATTTCTCAGGAAGAGACTTAAACATGTCTTTTTCTCTGTCACTCTTGATGATCTCTTCCTTTTTCAATCTGGAAGCCACAGTACTGGCCTCCATCTTTGATGGCACTTCCCAGTACTGAGCTGGTGTGCTATTTAGTTAGTTATGTTTTTTGTGCCACACATTACTTTGTATTGTAGCTTTATTATTTTTTACAAATAATTCAAGGCAATGAACATATCCTTCCTCCTATTTTCCCCACAACAACAACTCTGTGAGGTGGACTGAGCAGCAGAGGGAATGACTGGCCCAAATGTCTATGGAGATTTTCAGTCATCCAGGTCATGGATGTCCCAAAGGTGCTTTTTCAAGAGGCAATTGGACTTTGTTTTTTTCTTTGAAGACGTTTTGCTTCTCATCCAAGAAGCTTCTTCAGCTCATAGCTGAAGAAGCTTGTTGGATGAGAAGTAAAGCGTCTTCAAAGAAAACCAGAAAGTCCAATTGCTTCTTGATAAAGCACCCTTGGGATGACTGGCCCAGTTACTGAGCCAGGCAGGACTTGAACTCACAGTCTCCTACTTTCTAGCTAGGTGTATTAACCGCTAGACCAAACTGGGGTCCTTCTAGACTCACAGCTCCTGGTTGAGTAACAGGTGGCAGTCATGGGTAAGGAAATCTTAGCACATTCATGTTGTGCACCAATTGTATCCTTTCCTTGACCGGAAGGCCTGGCTCAGGATGATTCATGCCTTTTTCATTTCCAATTTGGATTACTGCAACACTTTCTATATGAGGCTGTTCTTGAGAACCACCCATAGTTTACAACTACTCCAGAATGCAGTGGTGCATGCAATGATGGGCGCCTCTAGGTTTACCCATATAACATCTCTGTTGCAGTGCATTGGCTCTCAGTTTTCTCTTGGGGAAAATTCAAGGTGCTGTTGATTAAATCCCTATATGGCACGAGACCGAGTTATCTGCAGGACTGCCTTTCCCAAAGGACCTCTGCCCATCCTACCAGATCAGAAAGGGTGCTCCTAGTCCTTTCTCTTAAATGCTGCCATTTGATAGGATCTAGGACGTTTTCTGGGCAGCCCCTGCCTTATGAAATGGCCTTCCTGACATTTGGCCATCCCCCACTCTTTTAACCTTCCAAAGGCCACTTAAGACCTGATCCCCACCACACCCACCCCGGAAAGTGGTGGGTTAGGGTGAGCTGAATTTTTGTGAGCTGCATGAAAGTTCAGCTGTGATGCCAGGTCTTTTGGTTTTAATGTTTTTTATATATATTGTTGAGATATATTGTTTTATTTTGGGGTTTTGAACTTCCCAGAGTTTGGTTCAAGAAGGGCAGGTATAAAATAAATAAATACATATTTTGTGAAATTGTCCCATTATTATGAAAAGAAGAAGTGCTGAGTTTGTCTGTCAAGAAAATGCAGGTTCCAATGCATCAGAAGGATTGTAATTTATTGGTGTAATTTATTGGTGAAGAAAACATTCCATCTAGCCAGAAAGAGCTGGCCTTGGGATCGTGGCTTCACACGTTCCTAGACTGAGTTCTTATGTAACTACTGGCTGAGTTCTTATGCAACTACTGGTTTTGTTAATCGGCAAATACAGTAGTCCACAATGGGCATTCGGAAAGGTCATTGGTTTTTCCAGGGGTTTCAAGTTCAAATAAAAAGTTTTAAGGCTCTTGTTTCCTTTTCTGCCCATCAATGAGTTTTGTGCACCAATCAATTATCTCTGCTTATTTTGGCTCTCTTTCACTATTCCCCCTGCCCAAGGGCTAAAGTTATTGATCGGTGGTTGACAGTTACCTCTGCAAATTCATGTATCCATGCTATAATCACAGGAAGGATATCATACCAATCAATTTCACTTGCTGCAGGGAAAGACATTTTGAAGATGACATCTGAAAGGATTGATCAAGTGGCTCTTATTTATAAAGCCCCAAGTGGAGTGGCCTAGGACAGGGGTCGCCAACCTTTTGGACCACAGAAACCACCAAACTGATCATTTTAAATCCTGAGGACCAGAGACCCTGGGAAAATCCCCCAAAAAGACTGCAGGAAAATTCCCCACCCTGTTTTCCTATCAATCGATCATTCTTTATTTGGGATCGCAGGATACCATCTCCAGCTCCGTTCTCAGGGGGGGCGGGGAGAGAGAGAGAGAGAGAGACACTGACTGACTGACTGACTGACTGACTTTTGGTTTCATGCAAGAAAAGCAGCAGAAGTCTTTCTTTCTCTCCCCCAAACTCTACCAGAAATGAGTCTTTGTGAGACTTGTCGTGCCGGCGCAGCCTCTTGGAGCAGGATGCCTTGCAGGCTCTCAAAGACTCATAGCTGGTGGAGTTTGAGGGAGAGAAAGAAAGACTTTTGCTGCTTTCCTTGCGTGCAGCTAAAACAGAAGAAAAAAGAAGTGGAAAGAAGCAGCCCGGTGGCCAGGCGAGGCACATGGAGCGAGTGGGGCAAGTTTCCCTCCTGCCCTTTCCCCGCTCCCCTCACTACCTCATGTTGTTTGCAATGCAAGTGACCAAGCCTTGTGTTCCTCTGGGCCATGTGGGTGGCGCAGCCTTGTGTTCCCGCGCAGCCTGGATTTATTGCTTTGGGAGGTGCTTTGGGGGTGACATTTCTCTACAGACCACCAAAATTTTCTCGCAGACCACCAGTGGTCCCTGGCCCACGGGTTGGCGACCACTGGCCTAGGACACAGTCAACAAGGTGCACAGAAGGAGCCACTGTGCAGTTAACCAGAAAAGCAGATGCCAGATTCTGGAAACTTATCCTAAATAATATAATGAAGATAGTGTTTCCTGCTTTAGATCCCAATAAGCAGGTAGACAAAATAAATTCCAAATTGAAACTTTTCAGATGTATAAAATCACACACTCCTGAGTCGAGTTTACGTTCACTGAAAAAAAAAGCACCGAGGACTCCAGAGAGGCTTAAATTAATAAAACAAATGGTCAAAATTGGGAGCGTCCTATCAAATTCTGTACCTGTCAACAGTGGTGTCCCCCAAGGCAGTGTTCTAGGACCAACTCTTTTCATACTCTACATAAATGACCTCTGTGATCATATTAAGAGCAACTGCGTTCCCTTCACTGATGATATAAAGCTATTCAACACCACAGACAATACTGCTACCGTTCAAAAAGACCTCGACTATGTATCAGAATGGTCAAACAAATGGCAACTTCAAATCTCAACAAATAAATGCTCTGTCTTACATATTGGCAAAAAAAAATCAGAAAATAAAATACAGGCTGAATAGTCAAGACCTTGTTGATGATCCAAACTCTGTCAAGGATCTTGGAGTACTCATCTCCAATGATCTAAGTGCTAGAGCCCACTGTAACTACATAGCCAAAAAGGCATTAATATTACACTACTAACTAGAGCATACATAACATTTGCTAGACCAATACTTGAATACAGCTCATCAGTCTGGAACCCACATTACGTATCTGATATTAACACAGTTGAGAAAGTCCAGAAATATTTCACAAGAAGAGTTCTCCACTCCTCTATTCGTTGCAAAATACCTTATGCCACCAGACTTGAAATTCTAGACCTAGAAAACCTAGAACTACGCCGCCTTCGGTCTGATCTAAGTATAGTATATAAAATTATATATTGCAATGTCCTACCTGTCAATGAATACTTCAGCTTTTATTTTATTTTTATTTATTTTATTTGGTTTGTCAATTGCTTACAAGGTAATAGGTATAAGTAAAAACATAGTTATGAATACATGGATACAAATAAGAAAAATAAAAGAAACAATAGGACAGGGACGGTAGGCACGTTGGTGCGCTGGTAAACCGCACCAGACTTGATTGCAGGAAATACGACTTCAGCAACAGAGTGATCAATGTCTGGAATACTCTACCCGACTCTGTAGTTTCTTCCCCAAACCCCAAAAACTTTAAGCTTAGACTGTCTACTATTGACCTCACCCCTTTCCTAAGAGGTCTCTAGGGGGCGTGCATAAGTGCACCAACGTGCCTACCGTCCCTGTCCTATTGTTTCTTTTTATTTTTCTTATGTGTATCCATTTCATGTATTCATAACTACGTCTATACTTATACATATTATCTTATAATCGTTTGACAAATAAATAAATAAAAATAAATTATAGCGTTTGACCTCCTCAAAGTCAGCCCTTCTGATTAACCGCACTGCAAATCACCTTATCCACCACAAAAGGGCAGCAGGGAAAAGCAACGAACGGCCAAGGTGTATCTCTCTCCCGCCTCGCAGCCCCGTCGCTGATCCCAGACCTCCCGCCCGGCTGAATATATCAAGCGCGACTTTTTGGTTCAGGGAACGCGAACATACCCGAGCTGGTGGTTGAGGGGGGGGGGACTGAAAAACCGGGAGAGAAAGTGGGGGCGCGCAGGGCTTTTTGGGAAAGGTAGTCCTTGGCATGCAGCTGCCTGTGGCCAAGAACTCGGTCCGGACTCTATCTCCCAGAGGCGCACTAGGCAGCGGGCTGGTAGGAGGCTTTCTCTGTACGAGCCTCCCTTACGTAGTTCCAGATTCACATTGCATCCTATCAGGCCAAAAGGCGATGATGTCACCTGCGGGCTTGTGAGGCAGCGAGACCGGAGTTACTCCTGCTGGCGGCGGCGGAGGAAGCGAGCCTGCCCTAACTAGCACTCATTGTAAACCGAGCGGGGAACTGGAGCGGGCGGCGGCTCCAGAAGGATGCACGGGGGCATCAGGTAAGGCGGTTCTGGTTCCCCCCCTCCCCCACCTCACCGCAGGCTGCAATCAACGCCCAAGCCGAGGCCCCGTTTTCAGAGGTTGGCTCGGGCTTGGCTTAACGCGGTATGGAGGAACCTTAGTTACCTTCCGGGGTGAGGGGAGAAAAAAAAAAGAATAGGTGAAGCTTAAACGGCTTTCTCGTTCTCATCTCCTTGTGGGGAGAAGCGGCTTGAGGGACGGCCGAGCTTTTAAGATTTTAAGCTTGGGCTAATCGGGGAAGTGCTCCAGTCTGCAAACGAGGCAGGGTCTTGGGTTTAAAGGGGGTGGGGGGGGGAGAGAAACTTTAAACGCGGTTTTCTTGCAGCAGCCCAGAGGTAGTAGAATCTGCACGGGAGAATATGGGCGTCGCTGCGTGGATTGAATTCGCTCGTTTCTGGAAATATCCGTGCGCCCCTTTTCGCTTCCCGGGATTGTGTGGCTCTTCCCATCTCCCCTCAAACGGATCTGCGCGAGAGGCCAGAAAACTGTGGGTTTCTCGTGTGTGTGTGTAACAAAAGGTGCAGATGTCTTTCCCCCCCGTTTCTTTCCGGCTGCAGCCTTTCTTTCTTCTGAAAGGGGCGTCGGGCTGGAGACGCCGCGAAAGAGATCGGCTTGAGGGGGGAAAAAAAGAAACCGGTCTGCCGCCTTTACCACTACCGTCTCTCTTCACAAACACACCCACTTTTTGTTGTTGTTGTTGCTTGTTGCTGCTAAATCCCCCCTCCCCAAATTGCCGCGGGTTCAAAGCCACCGGGAGAAAGAGAGAGGGAGAGAGAGAGAGAGTTTTGATTCTGCCGGCTTAACGCGAAGGCATTTGAACACAAGCAGCCGAAAGGAGGCGTGTAAAGTCGCGGCTTAACGTTGCCGCAACAAGACTTGGTGCGGTGTTTGTGTGGACGGCGTGTGCCTGCTCGCCACGTCCTCTGTATTGGGGTCTCTTTTAAAGCTCCTGGCACCCTTTTGGGCCTCGTCCCCGGTTTCTTGGTAACTGGAGTCCCAAAACGGCTCTCCCGGGGGTTGCCTGGCTCTCACCATTACTGAAATGCTAAACCACCCCGGCTTTTGAAATGCAAAATAAGGCGGAACCAATACTTCAAATATATTTCGAAAAGAGACATCGGTGCATCCCTACGGCTCTTCTAAAAAAATGTGACTCTTGCTGTGGGGGGGAAGGGGGGAGGGTTGGGGCGCCGTGGGGAATCAATACATCCTCATCTGTACCCTGCCTAAAGACCGGCGATGCTTCTGTTTTCTCCAAGGGAGGTGTGGGGGGAGGAAAGACAAGGTAATCGGGCTTTCCCCCCCCTGTGGAAGATGCAGAAACTGCTGCTCTTTTTCCTGCCACCTGGTCTCCATCTTCCTCCCACCCAGCTCCTCCTTCTATTTAGGGGTCTCTTACTGGCTTTTTTTTTTTTTTTTGCCCCAATGGGTGCATTTGAGAGTCTTGGACCCTTCTCCTTCGTTCCTCCGATTCATGAAAGGGTTCATGAAAGGCTGGGCCAGTGGCTCTTGCTCCACAAGCAGAGAATCCCCAGTTAACCGAGGAAGAAAATAAGC